ATGGTCTCATGTCGATTAAGGCTTATTTCCCACAATAACAAGATGTTTAATAGTGAACTAAGACATGCTTCAAGAAGTATCATGTAAGTGTTCAAATGTTCCAAAGATGATGCTAGCTTGTGTTGAAGATGATGTTTTGACTTATGTTTTCCAACTATCTCTATGATGATGTTTAAACTTGGTAAAGTGCATGCTTTCAAATGAAATGTCCATTTTTGCATGTTTCCAGTGTTTTTATGCATGACTACCACACTTACTGCATTTTTTTACTAAACACTTACTTTTGCCTACATTTTCTCCAAGTGTAGTGTCCGGCACTAGAGGTGATCATACTTGTGGCTAGAGCTTGGATTTGATTGTTCCTGAGCTTGGTGAGTCCTTATGATTCGAGGACGGAGTTATTGTTTAGTTTCCATTTCTTGTATTTCCTTTTGAACATGTTGTATGTGCTAGGCCCTATTTCATCCACTATTGTAATAGATGACTATGATGAAACAAAGTGTCTAGACTTCCGCTTGCTTTTATGAAAGGCTTTTTAAGACTTGAAATTATGTATTACTCTTATTGTACTATTTCTTATGTTATGAGGACTAAGGGGCTTGTATGGAGTCTTTCGGGCACTACTAAAAAATTGTTAAAAAACGACGGTCAAAAGCGACGGACTGCGTCGCATTTTTGGTCAACATCGACGGAAAAGTGACCCAGTCACTTCCGTCGCTTTTTAGCTCGATGCTTTTCAAAAAGCGACGGACAACGTCATTTTTAAAAAAGCAACGGACTGCGTCTCTTTTAGCGACGGACTGAGTCGTTTTTTTACTTCTTTTTTATTATTATTTTTTTAAAAAAAAGCGACGGATTACGTCGCTTTATTTTAATTTTCATTTTTTTTAATTTCTAAAGGGTAACGCAGTCCGTCGCTTTTCTGGAAATTTATTTTTTGAAAATCCAGTAAAGCGATGGATAAAAGAACACTGTCCGTTGCTTTTCTAGAAATTTTATTTTTAAAAACTTAAAAAAGCGACGGACAAAACCACGCTGTCTGTCGCTTTTCTGGGTTTTTAAAAAAATTAAAACCCAAAAAAGCGACGGACTAAACCACGCTGTCCGTCACTTTTTCTGCAATATTTTTGACAGTAGCAGCTTGCAGCTTCTGCTGCCCACCTGCAAATGCAATTTATTTCAATTCTACACTATTCAGCCCAATCAAACACACACAATTATAAACAATCTAAACAAAACATAAAACAACAAACTTAAAATAACATTCAAAAGTATCTAAATCATAAATTAAAGACTTATAAAGTCTTTTAAAATTTCAAAAAGTTCATAAATGTCCAGAGATCTAAACTAGGGAGTGAGATCTACATAATCATCCTCATCACTCTCATCGTCGTTGTCATCGGGAGCCGAAGTAGTAGGTCGACGAGCGAGGTTCATCACTTGTTATTTGATTTGCTGAACGGTCTCACTCATGCTTTTTTGTTCAGCTACTCTTTTCCGCTCTGACTCTGCTGGTGCCGCTGTAAGTTTAGCTATTTGATCCGACATAGCAGCAATCTAAACACCGTCAAGTGCCTCAGCTTGACATGACGATCCAATACCTTCTAAGCCTGACTGAAGGCGTCTAACATCGTTGCGAGAGCCTAGACCATAGCATCTACCCTTGTGTGTCCCTCCTACCACTTTTTCTTTCCGAATCTGAGTGGACAGTTCAGGTGTCAATTGAACCGAATTATCTAAATTCTCAGCGACGTACTTATGAAAGTCATTCTGCATATTAAATATATGTATTGACATCAATATATATACATACCATAAATATATTCACTATTGATATATATTATTCATATTAAATAACTTACAAAAGTTCGTTCGGCCCTTTCCTCCACCCACACATCCGGATCCGACTCATTTTCTTTCTTCCTGACATGAGTCTTTTTGAAAACCTCTAGTTCAATGGGAGTGCGTTCCAATTCTTTTTTCTATAAATAAAAATTGAAATTTATAACGATATATATGTATCAACTAATATTATATACATCAACAGGCATCAAATTATAAAAGATACCATCCAATCGATCACTTTCTCCATGATCAATCCATACAAAATATCTAGGCTTAAATCCATTACGGTACAAATGAACCATAACTCTATCTGGTTTAAAAAAATTTAAGCACTTACATGCACTACAAGGACACCTAACCAATCCATTAATCTTGAAAATGTCAAGTGTCATTGTATGTTCAATAAAATTTCTAACACCGTCAATAAACTCAGGTTTCAAACCAGCACCAGTTTCATAATGCATATTATACATACACAAACGATGATCCATCTACAAAAATATAGATGTTCAATTATATTATAAATAAAATTTAATAATAATTTTACTAGTAGTAGTCCTAAAACTAGTTTAGTATTGACAAAACCACATTATTTAATTTAACTTATTTAAACAACTTAACAACTTTTTAATTTTAACTAGTTTAGTTTTGACTTAATTCCAACAACTAAATCCATCAACAAAACCACATTATTTAATTTAACTTATTTAAACAACTTAACAACTTTAACTAGTTTAGTTTTGACTTAATACAACACTAAATCCACCAACTAAACCACATTAGTTAATTTAACTTATTTAAACAACTTAACAACTTTTTAACTTGAACTAGTTTAGTTTTGACTTAATTCCAACAACTAAATCCATCAACAAAACCACACTAATTAATTTAACTTATTTAAACAACTTAACAACTTTAACTAGTTTAGTTTTGACTTAATACAACACTAAATCCACCAACTAATCCACATTAATTAATTTAACTTATTTAAACAACTTAACAACTTTATAACTTGAACTAGTTTAATTTTGACTTAATTCCAACAACTAAATTCATCAACAAAACCACATTTTTTAATTTAACTTATCTAAATTTAAAGCTAAGTGTCAACACTAGATGGACACAAATCGATCTTGCAAGAAAATCAATTTTGTCATCAATAGGATCAACTAGTGTTGGTACTCATGCTTAACAAATATATTATTTCTAAATTTAAAGCTAAGTGTCAATACTAGATGGACACAAATCGATCTTGCAAGAAAATCAAGTTTGTCATCAATAGGATCAACTAGTGTTGGTACTCATGCTTAACAAATATATTATTTCTACATTTAAAGCTAAGTGTCAACACTAGATGGACACAAATCGATCTTGCAAGAAAATCAATTTTGTCATCAATAGGATCAACTAGTGTTGGTACTCATGCTTAACAAATATATTATTTCTAAATTTAAAGCTAAGTGTCAATACTAGATGGACACAAATCGATCTTGCAAGAAAATCAAGTTTGTCATCAATAGGATCAACTAGTGTTGGTACTCATGCTTAACAAATATATTATTTCTACATTTAAAGCTAAGTGTCAACACTAGATGGACACAAATCGATCTTGCAAGAAAATCAATTTTGTCATCAATAGGATCAACTAGTGTTGGTACTCATGCTTAACAAATATATTATTTCTAAATTTAAAGCTAAGTGTCAACACTAGATGGACACAAATCGATCTTGCAAGAATATCAATTTTGTCATCAATAGGATCAACTAGTGTTGGTACTCATGCTTAACAAATATATTATTTCTAAATTTAAAGCTAAGTGTCAACACTAGATGGACACAAATCGATCTTGCAAGAAAATCAATTTTGTCATCAATAGGATCAACTAGTGTTGGTACTCATGCTTAACAAATATATTATTTCTACATTTAAAGCTAAGTGTCAACACTAGATGGACACAAATCGATCTTGCAAGAAAATCAATTTTGTCATCAATAGGATCAACTAGTGTTGGTACTTATGCTTAACAAACAATCGATGGACACAAAAATATTATCATAAAATTAAAGTTAAATATCAATACTAGATGGAATAAACACATTATTGAAAACAATTGTACTTGAACTTTAGAAATTTAGAAGCACCAACCTTATCTCCTACTTTGATGAAAGAAGCAATATAGTCTTGTATCAACTTTTTTAGATGTTGAGCTTCCTCAGTTGCCTAGCACGAAAAGTTCTAAAATTAGTTAAATTTCAAGTTCAAGTTCTAATTTCAAGTTCAACTTCTAAGTTTAACTTCAAATTCTAAGTTCAAGTTCATGTTCAAATTCTAAGTTCAATTTCAATAATAATTCAAACAAACCCCAACATTAAAATTTTCATTTCACAATCAACAAACACAAGTTTAAGTTCTAAGTTTAAGTTCAAGTTCAAGTTTTAATTTCAAGTTTAAGTTCAAGTTCTAAGTTCAAGTTCTAGTTCAAGTTCAAGTTAAAGTTCTAATTTCAAGTTCAAATTCTAAGTTCAAGTTCTAATTTCAAGTTCTAATTTCAAGTTCAAGTTCTAAGTTTAACTTCAAATTTTAAGTTCAAGTTCATGTTCAAATTCTAAGTTCAACTTCAATAATAATTCAAACTAGTCCTAAATTCAAAATTCAAACTAGTCTTGAAATCACAAATTCAAACTAGTCCTAAAATCCCAAATTCTAACTAGTGCTAAAATCCTAAATTCAAACAACTCCTTAAATACCCTAATTCAATCTAATCTTACAATTCCAAAATCAAACTAATTAACTCAAGAAATACCGAATTTCAAACAAATCCTAAGATACCCTAATTCAAACAAACCCCAACATTAAAATTTTCATTTCACAATCAACAAACACAAACTAACAATCAAATAATCCCTGATTCAAACTAACCTTCAAAAACCCCTAAATCATTCACTTACTAACTAACAATCAATCAAACTAACAATCAATAAAAAAAAACTAATTCAATACACTAATTAACAAATTTAATACTCAAATTGAAAGAAATTAAAAATAATATTATGAAACCCTAACCTTCAATTAAAGGAGAAGGGCAGTAGATCGAGGTCGGGGTCAGTTGGCCGGCTGTTGATGTTGATTGCTTGGAGCTCGCTGGCCGAAGCAGTTGAGGGAGAGACAGAGCAGCGTCGGAGATGTTGTTGCCGTTCTCGCCGGTGAGAAGAGACGGGAGGGAGCAAGGAGAGAAGAGATGAGAAGAGGAGGGCGGCGGGAGGAGGGCTGCTGCTTCTCGCCGGAAATGGACGGAGAATGAGAGAGAGGAGGAGGTTGGGCGGCGGTAAGGAGAAAGAGATGAAGAATGAATTAGTTAAGGGTTGGCTCCTTTTGGTAGATTAAAATAGGAAAATAGATCTTGACCGTTGATTTAAAATAGATGTAAGGCTGAGATTAACTTGGAGTGAGATGGGTGGTCAAGATTAAAAGGGATGAGTTTGATTGAAATCTGAAATAATTGCAATGAGCAAAAGGGCTAAAATTGCGACTAAATTGAAATTAGAGGCTAAAATCGAAAGAGAATTGCATAGAAAGAGGGCTAGAATTGAAATAAATTGGAATAGAATGGACTATAATTTAAATAATTTAGACGAAGAATAAGGAAATGCTAGCCGATTAATAAAATACTACATATTAAAATATTTTCACACATTATTAAAAACATCTAATATTTTAAAATATAAGTAAAGTAATTATTTTGAGTTTAACTATCGATAAATATAATAATTTAAAAATAATAATATTTTTATAAATCATGCATACTAAAATATATAATTTTTTAGACAACCTTAATTTTTAGGATTTGTTTTTATTTATGTTCTTCAATTGCAATTTCTTATTTTAAAAAAATAGACGTGTGCCTGTTAATTAAAAAAATTAAACATTCGCAAACGAACATAAAAATTTTCAAACAATAATATTATTTTTTGATATTTCTCTGTATTTTTGCATGAAAATAAATTGACGAAAGTTCTTTGATTTTCTTTCTTAAACATTCAATCAAATTAAATAACACTACTTATTTATTTTTTCTTATCATCTAGGCTATCTAAATTTAACGCAAATACTCACTTTTAATTTTTAATATAAATCAATACGAATAAAAAAACCCATCTTTAAAAAGACTCGACTGACTTAGTTAATAACACTACTAAAAAAAGACTCTTGTTCATTGCTAATAACACTACTATACAATGTTAAAACTCGACTGACTTTGTTAGGTTGTCAGTGATTTTAAAGAAAGAAAACCAACACAATTTCGTCGGTTATTTTTCACACAAAAATACATAACACTCTTAAAAAGAAATTATTATTTTTTAAAAAGAATTATTTTTTGTTAATTTTTAATTTTTTAACTAAAATAAAATGACACATGTCGATTTAAAATAAGAAGTTGCAAATGAAGAATATATATAAAAATAAATAAATCATAAAAATAGTATTTCGTGTTAAAATGGAGCATAAAAAATGGAGTTCAAGGGTTAAAATGGAACAAGGCTAAGATAAAGTGCCAAAATGAAAAATGTGGACAAGTTAGAGGGGTTGTATATGTGTTTGGCCATATATATAATTTAACTACACATCAACAAAAGTTTAATTTAATAAATTTAATTTATCAATCAAGTTAATTTTATAAATTTAAATTATATACCTTCTAATTATATAAATTTAATTTTATTGATCAACAAAAGTTTATCAATATCAAATTTAATATATAAATCTCTTTGAATTGATCATCGGTATTTCTTTAATTGATAATGTATTTCATATCTGAACCACTAGTATATAAGACTTGATTTGTTAAACTACTCGAGGAATATATATATAATTAATCAACGTATTTCATACTCCGATGAAGTATCCTTTACATGTCATCATAATTAGGAGGTGATCACTACACTTGACATCCATTCAAGATCGAACGTATATAATAATACTATCTCGCATTTCATACTGGAGTGGATTATATGTTAGCTCTTCACCTCTACTACATCATGACATGAGATATTACGTTTATGATTAGATGACGGACTGATAGGATTTGTACATTACTCTATAAATATAAGTATAATTATCTCCTAATTCATATCAACGTAGTTTCATACACTAAATATGGATTATAGATATTTTTTTATTTATTTCACCAATTCTAACATTTTATTTGTAAGTATACAAAATTGTTACACTTTTTGAACAATTAATCGTAGGTGTAAAATGAAATTTTAATATTATGCACAATAGCAAAATTATGATTAATAGGAATATTTTAAACATACCGACCTCCGGATGTCGCTTTTATTAAAAGTAATTAGATATAATAAAAAATACCGACCTCATGAGGTCGGTATCACATTAAATTTTAAGATAAATAAAAAGTAATCATGTTAATTAAATAATATTGACATCGGGAGGTCGGTATTTTATATTAAATTATTTTTTAACTTATATAAAACCGTCATTCGGAGGACGATTTATTTAAAGTTAATTGAAAATATTAATTTATTACATACTATTTAATTTTACCGACATCTGGAAGTCGGTATTATAATTTTTTTTGTTTTTTATTTTACACAAAACCATTTTCCGGAAGACGATTTAAATAAAATAAAAACAAAATATTTCTCAATTTTGTTTTTTATATGGAGTAATGGGGAAAATCGCGTCTGCTAGTGCAGATATTTTTAAAAAAGCGACGGACAACGTCTCTATGTCCGTCGCTTTTTTTTAAAAATGTTTGACCAACATTTTGACCAAAAAGCAACAGACTAAGAGACATTGTCCGTCGCTTTCTTAAAATATTTGACCAGATATTTTGACCAAGAAGCGACGGACATAAAGATGTTGTCCGTCGCTAATTTAAAAAATAATTAAACAATTAAAATTAATAAAAAGCGACGGACGGCGTGACTTTTTTTAAATTAATAAATAATTATTTTTAATAAAAACGACGGACTGAGTCACTATCTATATAAAATAATTAATTAGCAAAAATACGCGAAAAAAAGTGACGGACTAAGCGATGCCGTCCGTCGCTTTTAAATTTTTTTTAAAAATACATATTTTAATTTAAAAGCGACGGAATAAGAGATGCTGTCCGTCGCTTTTTAAAAATGTTTGACTAGATATTTTGACCAAAAAGCGACGGACTAAGAGATGCCGTCCGTCGCTTTTAAAAAAAAAACTAATTAATAAAATAAAATAAATTAAAACGACGGACAGCGTGGTTATTGTTTAATTTATAAATTACTATTTTTAATAAAAAGCGACGGACTAAGAGATGCAGTCCGTCGCTTTTTGTAAAATAATTTTAAAAATAATTATTTTAATTAAAAAGCAACAGACGGTATCTCTTAGTCCGTCTCTTTTTTGGAGCGACGCTGTCCGCTTTTTCTTCCGTCGTTTTTTTAGCAGTTTTTTAGTAGTAGGGGTTCTATACGCCTTGTTACATCTAGGGGGTACCCCTGGGTCGTGACAAGTCTTGGCTTAATTAGAGATTTGTAGCTATAGTTTGCTTAATTACGAATTATAGCTACATGTTAGAGAGAGGATAGAGGCGAATGAGATCTGAGAGAGAGAGAGGTTGAATACCTATTGTATTCGTTGTATCACGAATATAATTGATACAACATATTTGTATCGAAATACAATTGCATTCATTTTAGGAGGAGAGATGCGAGCGAGATCGAGAAAAGGATGAGAGATGTTGAATGCATGCATATTCGTTGTATCATGAATACAATTGATACATAATGCAAATAGAGTTAATACAAAATATATTTGTCTGAGGACAATTGATTGGTATCATATATCAAACATAATTGTATCAATTGTATTTACGAACACAATTGACAAAATACAAATTTTCATAATACAATTGATACAAAATAATGCATATACAATTGATACATAATACAAAATATAATTGATACGGAATACAAATATATTTGATACATAATACAAAATATAATTGATACGGAATTGCGGAGGGATCAACAAGTAGGATACCCTTCTAATTAACGATAGATTTTTATTGTTTAGTGGTACATATATATATACCATACGTACATATTTGTTTTTAAGGAATATCACTATCTAGGTAATTGATGCTATATCTCTCCCTACCATATTTGTCAACTAGCTACTACATATCTTTATGAATCTTTTTCAAATCTCCTATAATCCTTTTTCATGTACGGACTATAGCTAAATATATGTGTAGCTCCTTAAATTTGTCAGATAATTTCATTTAAACATTTAAATTATTATTAGTATCTATTGGACACTTAAAGTCCTTTTATAAATGACACAATTTGAAAAGTTTTTGTACATATTCTCAAAGTGTTCATTGCATAGATAAGTTAGGGCCTGTTTGAATTGGCTTTTGGCTTATGACTTATAAGCCAAAAGCCACAAGTTAGGATTTCTAACTTATGGCTTTTGGTTTATTTTTGTTATTTTGGCTTTAAAATAAGTGCTTATAAATATTTTTTAACTTTACCCAAACACTTCAATACTGCTTAAAAGCTATTTTGGCTTTAAAATACCTAAAATAAGTCAATCCAAATGGGCACTTAATCATATAAAGTAAGTCTCCTTCTTTATATATACACATCATGGCGTCATCATCGATTGACATATGCATGAGGTTTTATTGGGTACTGATTCTAAAAGGAGGTGATATAATTTAAATGGCTAGCATGTCCTTTTACTTATGATAGCTTTAGAACATGCACAAAATTTTATTCAAATTTTTTTAGTAGAAAATATCTAGTAGAAATATATATTATGTGTTCAGGTATTTAATTGAAACATTGTCATAGTTTGTATTTGACCAAACTTTTATCAATAGAAAAGCTAATAATATTATGGTACATTCAAGTTTTAGTTAGTAAACTACAGAGGCGTATGCAGAAGAGGGTCACCGGGTTTACGTGAACCCATGTTTTCCTCCTGAAATCATATATAGTATTGTTATATTTTTAATTTTTTATTAAATATAGATGTGTGAACCCACAATCGAAATATCATATAATGCAATGATGATTGAGATTAGAAATTTAAATTTTATATATATCTTGTATTATTTTTCTTTCTAAATTTAGGTAACACCTCTCTAAGTGGTTATTGGTAGCACTTTTGGCGTTTTAATTAATTAATCATTTCAATTTTAGACCTATAGATTTAAATTTTTAATTGTTTTCAATGATACGAATCTAAATGTCAAACCGATTAGATCCACATTTTCATAATAATGCACCC